TCTAGTAGAACGGTCTCCTCCTCATCCGCTTGCTGGGAAATTAAACCATTTTTACGCAAACCTGTGAAACCTTCCTCATCATTTTTCTGACATGACAGGCAAGTTCACTAGTCATGAGTCAAGAATGTATGAGATAATTCATCATCAGAAACAGAAATGTGAAGAAAGACTAACACAATCAACTATTCAGATTCTTCATGAAGACATTTAGCTAATGAACAAGCACATTAGAAGTATAAATGCTTTAAAATAGACTTCTATTCCGACAATCCATTTCAAATTCTGCCATCAAGGCAAATATGTTCAAAAATGGGAAAAAGTGGGTCAGTTTTCATCATGTTCCAAACCAAGAATAAAATTAGGATTTAATTACACAGCAGGAATAAACACATTTATTCAACCATAATATTGAGCCCAACAGATTACTGCACCACTGTGTCCATGAAAAAGCATCTGAATGCATTTTATAATAATAATATAATAAATTCTATAAACAAATTAATAAGAACATAGGCTACTCTGACTGACTGCCATCATCATAAGTTTAGTAAATAGCCTAGACATAAAATAGGTGTAAAGAGCAAAAAATACGTGGGTAATTTCATCTCAAGTGGTTCAAAAAATGTTAAATTCTAAATGGTAAAGTAACTTTGGACCACTTGAGATGCAAAAGGGCGATATTAATTCAGTAAACCATTTAAATCAGCTTCATAGTTGTGAAAACCTCTAGACCACACCCATGAAGGAAGGTAGTCTGCTTATTTCCAATATTGACTTAAATTCAAGCAAATCTGCATTACTTATTATTTGCAGGATCACTCTTGCAATCTTAATTAAAAAGGCATTATTTTAGGAAGCATTTCCAACTCCAATCCAAAATCCCCTGCATAGACGACTGTTACACAACAAGGATGAAATGCTGATCAGGACACAGAGGTATATTTATAAATCTATCTAACACAAAGTCACTTAAATGCATCTTTCAATGAAGATTCTGCCAATTTAATGGCATGTTTCAGCATTCATTCCTGTGCCAATTTGACCACTATCTTCTTCCGGAAAAGGACTTCTTCCGTGTAAAGATCATTCTACACAAGAGGTCACCTCCAGATATCAAAAAGCAGGCTGCAAACTGAACAATGCCAACAATAGATCGAGAGGCACGACATATATAACTAGCCTATATTTATGCATGTTATCTACACCACCACCACATACCCCCAAATATGATGATCCTGGTCTTTATTTAGATTTACATGGATAAATACCAATTATAGCCTATTCTGTGAAATATTAATATCATATATATATATATATATATATATATGCATATATATATATTAAATAAACTATTACAGTGTTCTACTTAATATTGCATGTAATACTGTTAATTACTTTAAATATTTTTCTAATCTATTTTAATCAATTTTATATATATTTAATCTGTTTTAATCCATTTTATATACCGGTATTTCATTCAAAATTATTTATTCGTTTTTATTTATTTTACATCTAACCATCTATCACACCGTCTATCTATTAATAAATACCAATTATAGCCTATTCTGTGAAATATTAATATCATATATATATATATATATATGCATATATATATATTAAATAAACTATTACAGTGTTCTACTTAATAGTGCATGTAATACTGTTAATTACTTTAAATATTTTTCTAATCTATTTTAATCAATTTTATATATATTTAATCTGTTTTAATCAATTTTATATACCGGTATTTCATTCAAAATTATTTATTCGTTTTTATTTATTTTACATCTAATCATCTATCACACCGTCTATCTATTAATTTTATATACCGGTATGCTAATGTATCATTACATTTTTCTTATAGTACTTGTGCCGATATATGCATTTCATTATTTAAATGTTTTTAACAACAAATTTATTTTTATTTCCTCAGACCCCCTAGTACTCTTGATCTTCATATACAAGAAAGTATAAATTGAGCTTCATTTAGGGATTGTCAGTGTCAAGCCCAGCCCTCGCTATCAGGAGAGGAGTGCGCGCACACACCCTTTGCCACATGTCACACACAGTCACCATGTGTCTCCGACTATCCAGCTCTTCCACATGCTCTATAGAGGTTTATCTGATCTACAAGGGCCTCTCCTTACAGCTAGATAAGACAATGCAGGACATATGAAAAGCCCAGTGATATGCCTACAGGTTACGCTGCCCAAGTTTGCTGGAGTATCAAGACAATAGACACTCATGATCTCACTGCATTAGCCCAACCAGACAACCACCCAAAATACAATTTCCCCACCCATCAAGCCTGGTTAATTGACAGATAACCAACCCCAACCCCCAAAAAGACAATAAACCATTTACCCACCCTTATTTACATTTTAAACACCCTAAAGAAAAACATGTATGCTAATGCTTCAACAGCTGGGTTGAAATAGTCGGTATCAAAACCTAGTGAGCTGCCTAACTAGACACGTTTTATGGCTTCACGGGCTATGATGTCTAGGTAGGCAGCGCACTCGGTTTTGAGACACAGACAGAGTGCGAAATAAAGAGGCTCAGACACAGACAGACAGACACAGGAGGGTGGCTCACAGGATGCCTGAGCAGGACGTGCAGACGAACGAGCCCACGGTCATGTTGGCGTAGGTCGGGCCGCGCTGGTCGCAGTCGAAGCACTTTCGGTTGAGCGCCAAACTCGTCATTTCCCGCAGCATCTTCAGGTGTTTTTCCTCCTGCTTTCGCTTCGCGCTCGCTGCCATGGCCGGAGCCGTTAATGTACCGTTGGTCAATTAAAAAAAGAGCGTAATAAAAATCCAATACGTGTAACGTTAAGGGTCCGGAAAAATATCAGTCCGGCACTTCTATAAAACAGATCACGAGGAAAGGTAGGCGAGCCGGAGTTCTTCAGGAGGGCCTCACGTTTCACGAACAACGGGCGAAAAGCGCCGTAGTGATGAAGAGAGGAGGGTCCTGAGGCGCAGCTCTTTCTTTAACAGCCAGCCTGCCCACTCTACTTTCACTGCCTACAACCAGCCCTCCCACTCTGCATTCATTTCTATTGATTGATCCGTGCAGTTTAACACAACGGCCACCAGGGGGCGAGGACAAATAGTAAGTACTCAACGGATGAGATACCAAAGGGCTGAGTGCTAAAACTACCCGTAAGACTTCTTGTGCTGTGTAAATCTGTATGGAAATATAATAAAGATACATTCAGTGATAGTTTTGCTCAATATATGTGTTTATACGTTAGAATAAATATGTTGTTTTTGTGTAACAGGGTCAATAATTTGACAAACCTGATAGCACAGGGGTGAAAACTCTGGAAAGGGAAAACGAGTGACCAATCACAGGCGCCACCTAGGCTCACGTGACCCCAATCGAGCCCCGCCCACAATACTTCTCGAGTGCACGTTCTCGAGCTTATTTAAATGTTCTTATTAATCCGCAGTGCCCTCTAGAGGACGCAACACATTAACACAGCAATTCTCTGCAAGAGTGACCTAATTCCAATAGTATCCAGCTGCAGACCCGCAGCACCACCAGTTTCAGAACCCCAGCGCCAGAACCGGGAGTAAGGGGCGGAGCTTACGTTCTAACACCAGCGCCAGGACCGGAAGTGAGGGGCGGAGCTTACGTTCTAAACCGAGTAACGCCACCTAACGTTTTGGAGCGTAATTTGCTTAGACACGAAACGGCATTTTTACACACGAAACGTCATACTTTATTCGTATTATAATGATACATTAAGGTATAGTACAATAAGCATTTTAAAACATTGATTTTGTGTAATATAATTCTATATAGTTATCCGTTTCATTGTATTATGAGAGTTACTTCCTGATCATGATGGTGAAAAATAATACTTGAAACTTATGGTCATTTTATATAAAATATACTTTATTTCACAAGAACATGTGCAGCATGCATTTTTCTTTATGTAAAATAATGTCAAAAATCTAAAAAGAGAGAGAAAATCCGGCATTGTTTTAAAAGAAACAATAAAAATGTACCGTACTTGTCTCCTTTACACGCCTGGTGTGGCTGCAGGTCTGGGTAAATAAAGGCCGGTCTCAAATAGAGGTCGGGTCTGTTTTTTAGTTTCAGGTTGTATTAAATCTTCTAAAACCCGTCAGATCGTCCGCTTTTTGGCGGCCGCCAAAGCAAATTTGTGTCCCGCCAAAGCCTATTTTGATCGGTGAGTGATGTAGAATAGAATGACTGCTGCGCATGACAGGGCAGAGCAGAGAGAGAGAGAGCCCTGGCCGCGCGCGCGCACTCTCACGTCTTCAAACAACACGAGCGCTGTCTTGCTCTTTATTTGTCACATACCAGTTATAGTTCATACAAGGAGCAGTGACTCACTGTGTAATAAAAACATACCCTAAATATTATTTAAAAGGTGCAACAATTTTAAATATTTTCAAATACTTGCAAAAATAACCATGCTTGTGTCATTGTAAATAATTCCGCCCCTCCCTCACTTCCGGTTCTGGCGCTGGGGTTCTGGCACTGGGGTTCTGAAACTGGTGGTGCTGCGGGTCTGCAGCTGGATATATCTCCCTAATTCAGAGGATTTGGCTAGCCGAGGACATGAATCGACTTTCTTAATCGTTTTTAAGATGGCTATGAATATGTATTATGAAGCAATAAATGGCGCTGTGTTAATTAAACGAAGCACTGTTTGTAATATGTTGCATTGGCCTAATGCTGTATGGTGGAAACGGACTAGTTGTCATATTTCACAATACCTTAACGTCTTGGCTACAAATTATTAAGCTATTGCCCAGGAAATTGAGCACACTCCGACATTACGTGAGAATAGCAGGGCTGCACATTTTCAAATTATATAGGTTGAAATGCCACAAATCAAAATTGAGATATTAAAACAATTAGGAACCACCAAATTATTCCCAAAAAATATACTCTCTATAAGATGTATGGAAGGCCAATATTTCAATGTGCTAAATTAATCAGTGGAAGAAAGATGAGGTAACTGAAAGAAAACCTATTGAAACTTAGTTTATTAAACCATAATCCCTGTGCTAACCTTCTATTAAAAGCAACAACTTTACATTCCAAGTCACAGATTGGTTTCTTGTATTTTTTTTATTTTATCAAGTTTGGCTGGCATTTTAAACATTATGCACACGAAGAGGGTTACACCCATGTGGTTTGCTCATTAGGATTAGATATATGGCGAGATGTATAAAATGGCAGATTAAATACAGTTTACTATGTAAATGTAACCTTCAAACTTAATTTTAAAGGCTTTTTAACTCTCAGAAGAGCACTTATCTGCATTTCTAATCATCACTCTGTACGACTGGTGACCAAGAAGAATCTGTCTGATTAGTCCAACATCTTTATGGTGACCAACTTAGAGCCAACACAAAAGTTATGGCTAAAAATTATTTTTGCATTCTATACAGACAGAACAACATTTTGTTCAGAACTTTTATTTTTAGCAACCAAAGTTTAACATTTATATACATCAATTTATTTGTACCAACAGAAGATCTAAAGAATGTGCACCTCCAGAACAGATTAATGCTCTTAATTTAGATGTATATGATCTTTTTCATTAATTGGGCAGTTTTGTCTTAGTCTGAGGTACACCGAGATTTTCCGTCTCAGGCATAATAAGTTGGCCTCCAGTGTCACCATGGCCACATTTCAGCAGAAGTTTCACCCTACATAATAGTTGTGATCAAGCAGATGATGATGAATGTGAACAGTTTGGTTCTTCAAAAAGTGTCCCACTGGAATCTGTTCATCATTTATCCACTGGCGAGAGCCTGTTTGCTGGGCTTCTGAAGCTGCCCGGTGGGGGCAGTGAAGTCCCATGGTCTGCGGTCCTCGGTGAAGCCATAGAGTTTCCTCAGAGCCACACGCGCTGCCTCCTCTTCGGCTGCCAGGACGGTCTCACCCGGACCCTGAGCCAGCAGCTTACGGTCACTGCCACAAAATAAAAGATAATAAGAGATTTGGTTTTTAAAAATAAATCAAAAGAGACCAGAATAAATCTGACTCGACCCTGAAATGACACATCAGATTGTCCAGATTAATCAACTAGAACTTCATTTACAGACTGGAGTTAATAGATCAGGGTTTATATATATTTCGCAGACTAGTGACTATTACACCATTGTTTATAAATGTTAATTTTCTGTTCTAACATTGGAAATTTATACAGTGAAATGTGACCAAACCAACTGCAATTTATTGTTCTAGCTAGGTGTGGGCGATATGGCCAAAATTTTATTCACAATTTTATTTCTCAATAACTATATATAATATATATATATCATGATATTATGGAGCCCCTAAAGGGACATGAAGGGGGAAAAAAATGAGATTGGAGGTAAAATAAGTCTATGCTTTTGCGTTTTCTCGTAAATGTTTTGCGCTCCCCTGAGAAATTGCGCTCCCTCGACAAGAGCTCAAAAGAACACACAATCATTGATAAAAAAATAAAAAAATAATAATATCTCATATTTTATCCACCACCATGTCCCTTTAGGGGCTTTTGCTTTCAATAAGGTTATGATATCAACATTTTTGTCACCAGTGAAATTTCATAATTCTTCACCATTTTCAAAATTACAAAAAACTATTACTACAAGTCTAAGTAAAAAAAAAAAAAAAAAAAAACTTCAAGCACCAGAAATAAGAAATACTACATTAAATGTATAAAGTAATCAAATGTATAAAAACACTGCATTCACTGTGGACATTAAATCTTCATTTATTCTTATTAAAGTTACAAAGGTGATTCAGTCAAAAGCAGTGAGTGAATTTCTCTTTTGTTGTTTGATAATCATTAAATGACACAGAGCAGCAGCAGGTTATTAGGCTGCTGCCACTTCAAAAAGCACGGATCCAATATACTGATACACATGCATTTTCTTTCTGTTTACGTTCACTTAAGACATAAATGATACTTGCAAAGTTGGGCATTTTGACATAAGTGTGTGAATTTAACTGACTCATCAGTGAGTTCATAACTCACATATGCAGCGGCGTTCAGAGATGAGTTCTCTTTCGCTGCTTATTGTGCTTCACTGGTTTAAAAATCATTTGCACAACAACGTCACATGAGTGGAACCGCGATATAGGCTTGCTACGATAGTCGGTGTTACCGGTGTTCAGAAGCAACACCGGTTACATCTCTTGCCCACCGCAGCACCACCCCCTACTGTCGATTTGATTTCTGTTAATATAAAATCATTTAGTTCAGTTAGAGAACAGACACTATTAAACTGAACATGTCTGCTTAATAAATCGTGAGCCGAGGGTCGCGGCACAGACCAGCAACAGGAGTCAGGTTTCATTCATCACAAGAGTGAGGAGCTGTCTGACAAGGTGACTGCGGAATATTTGGTGTCAAAGCTAAATGTAAAAGCGCCTATTTAAGCGAATTTGTCATTGCACTGTTTTGTTGTTGTGTTTTTCATTAAGAATAATAGGCTAATGAACTAACTATTCAAGTAATCAGCCCCGAATTGGCGCTAATTTGAAAACGAAACTAAAATGTGCACGGCCACACGTGTCAACGGGAGCGGAGCGAGCAGAACAGCCCCCGCCGGTGATACCGGTATTACCGGTGTTGTCACACGTCGCTTAATCGGAGGGAAAATATCCTCCCCTGTCTCTATCGTGGCAATTTCTAATTTTACTCTATCAGTAAAATTTCTACCGGTTAATCGTGTCTACTGGTATATCGCACACCCCTAGTTCTATTAATTGTGTCATACCTGTAAAGCCCAACAAAATAGAGAGGGAGGACAGTACTGGCGCCAGCAGACCGGATGAGGCGAGGCTCGGGTAGCGCTAAACTTTTACGGGTCAGCTCTTTAACCAGCAGCCCCATGGGATCAACCACTCTCCACATGTCAAACAGATCTTTCCCAATCAGCTGAGTCACCAGGAAATCCTGCAAAAACAACACCCAACAAACAGATGGATCAAACTTTAGTGCACAAACAAAGATTAAGGCATATTATATATGTAATATGATAAATATGATTTATTTTATTAATAATTAAACATATGTATATATATATATATATAAATTACATAATTAGAAATTTAATTAGTAAAATTTTGTAAAGTAAAATTAGTAACTTTCATATATAATAAAAAATATATACATTTAATAAAAAATAATATAATCAATATGATTAGTAATTATTAAACATTTATACATGCATTTAATAAAAAAAATATATAATCTATAATAAAATATAAAAAATATATAATTATATATAATTAGTAATTTAATAAATTTAAATGTTTTTTTAATTATTTTAACATAACATTAACACAATATAAAATATACATAATATAAAATAATACATATATATATATATATATATATAAATACAGTAATTATTCATATTTTTAAATGATTTATATATATATATATATATATATATATATATATATATTCACACATAAATAAACAAAAACTTTTGTTAGACGCAATTAATCAATTTGACAGCACTAATATATTTATATATACATTTATTTATATAATTACTCGCATCTGACATTTTTTTTTTTTATAATAATGTGTGAATATATATATATATATATATATATATATATATAGGATACAAATAGACGTCGACAACAACAAAGAAAAAACAACATAAACTGTTAACTGTAATGGGACACTTGTCTTACCCTAATGAAAAGCCCAGCTTGCACAGGCCCGCTGCTCTTCTCCAGAGCCCCAATCACAGCGAAGAACGTTCCTTGCAGGGTGTCATCTGGAACGGGAAACTCTGCACTCATCGTCAAATCCTCCACGGCAAGCTTCCTTGCGACATGACACATGACCTTTGACCCTGTCAGGTGGTCTACAACAGCTGCCACACCCTCCTCAGGCAAGCTATGAAAGCTGCCCCTGCACCACTCACCAAGGAAACCCTGTATATAACAACTGAAAGGTAATATCCATTTCATACCATTTTTTCCAGTATAAAACTCATCAAAATTCTCACCTTTGTGAACTGTTGACCGTGCACAGTCAGCTCGCCGTTGTCTTTCAGGTTGAGGGCGGTCATCTCCGAGTCAAGGCCCAATGCTCGCCTCCTCTCCTCCTCAGATCGCAGGTAACACGAGCTCACAAACGCAGTCTTCAGAAGATCCAGAGAGAAACTCTCCTGCAGGCGGGCACTGAAAGCCTCCACTTCAGCATGGTAATCAAAGTTCGGCAGCTGGGAGCTGATGGGAAGAGAAAGCAAAAGACGGTTAATGCAATAAATGTAATTTACTATGCAAGATATATATAGATTTTGACTGATAAGCATGGAGATGTTGTAAGTTATCAGAGGCACTCAATGCAAGGCCTCAGATAACTACTGAGCACAGGCCCCCTCTTTCCATCCCAATCTTGGCAGAAGAATCTCTTTTCTGTCTCTCTCTCATGTGTCAAATGCTTTGAGAAACAACTTCTGAATGATTTTTTTCTGAAGTCAAGGTCAGCAGGCCTGGGAAGAGTCTAGGGAGTCAGATAAAATGTTCCCAACTAAAAAGTTTATTATGTGATGTTGAGGAAGAACCATGTGGATGAAGATAAACCGGAAAGTGTACATATATGATAATATGAACTAGGAGGCCTTATGATAATCTGTTCATTCACTTTCAAAGTCTTTGTCCAATGATAAACGAATATGTATATGTCTATTCTGAATAAACACTCTGTTTTACTTAGTGCTCATTTTTGTAGCTCTGAGATATGTTTCGGTTGTAAGAGAGATGGGCTGTTAATAATTTAAAGGGATAGTCCACCCAAAAACGCTTTAGGCCGTATCTGTGGTACAAACACAAAAGAGATATTTTGAAGAATGTCGGAAACCAAATAGTTTTGGTTTCCATTGGGAAGTGAAACTGGCTACCAATATTCTTCAAAATTTTTGTTTTTTACAATGTTACAATGTCAAAGCTTTGAGGTTTTTTTTTTTTTTTACAATGGCTACCATTCGATTACAGAATAAAGTTTAAAATTTTGTTTTTCGTTTATAAATCATTGCATGGTATGGCTACATTGTATTTGGTTTGGTCAATTTGATTGAGAAATATGAACCAAAACTGGTTTTAACGACTCCTAGAACAAAACGGAGAAGTGGAGATCGAGCTTTTGTAGCGATAGCTCCAAAACTCTGGAATGATCGACCCCTTTCTCTCAGATCGGCACCCACATCAAGTGTTTTTAAACACAAGCTTAAGGAAAACCTCACCGCATTAGCATTTAATGGGGTATAGTAGTTGTTCGTGTAGGCTATTAAAACTGAGGGGTTTATTTCACTGTTATTTAACTGTGGTTTTAGTGTTGTCTTTATGTGTTTTAGATAATGAACAGCACTTTGTTCAATGGTCAGCTGTGTAAAAGTGCTTAATAAATAAACGGAAATAAACTAAACAAAAATATCTACTTTTAGGTTCCAGAGAAAAAACAACGTCATACAGGTTAGGAACAACATGAGGATGAGTACCGGCGGTAAATGATGGCAGAATTTTTATTTTTGACTGGACTATCCCTTTAAGAAGATTTATCAATGCCATTCATCACAAACAGGCTGTACATGCATCACATGTACTGTGTGGCATCAATTTTATTTGTCAAAAAACAACATACTCTAGGTCTCTTAATGGCGCTTTTCCATTACCAGTACCAGCTCGACTCGACTCGACTCGCCTTGGCTCGCCTCGACTCGGCTCGCTTTTCGCTCCGTTTTCCATTGCAGAAAGTACCGCCACAAATAGTACCCGGTCGTCATAGCGACGCATTTCGTTCCTCGTTGCCCCATCAAGCTCTCGCTGGATCCTTTCTTCGGCAACCAAACAAAGGAATGTCTGCACCTCCTCGTTTGACCACGGCGTATTCTTCCGAGTTGCCATAATAATAGTAGTAAGTTTAGTAACTATCTCTGGCCAAACTATTTAAAATACTCCATCTGGCGCGTGCAATGATGACGCAGATTCTCTGTGACCAATCAGCAGTCGGCATTGTTTTCACGTCACATTTTAGTATCGGCTTAGCTCGCCTCAGCTCGCTTGGAACCTCGCCGGAGGTGGTACGAAAAAAAGTACCCGAAAGCAGGTACAGGTACAACTTTTACACAGTGGAAAACCAAACAAAGGCGAGTCGAGTCGAGCCGAGCCGAGCCGAGGCGAGCTGGTACTGTGTAGTGGAAAAGCGCCATAATATTCTACAGCTCATGACTCCAGTCTACTTTAAGACATTCAGAGAAAATCCTTTGTTTAATTGATGGGAAATTATGCAAAATGTGCTAATGTCAGCCCCCAAAAAGATCAAATGACAGCACGGAGAAAGAATTCATCTGCAGCTTTAGTGGTCACAATGCAAACCAATAAAATGAGAAGACAAGATACTAAATATCATTAACAATCTCCCTCTTCTATAAACTCATTAATACATGTGCTTATCTTGATATTTACAGTTAAATCACTGGCTGTGTCTTAAAACCTACTTAGCTGTCTGCCTAGACAGCATTTGGGCATCACAGATACGCCCTAAAGCGCCTAACTATACAGCCTAGGCAGGCAGCTGAATATGATTTGAGTCACCCACAGCCAGAGAGTATCACAAGTGGCCTTGAGATGTTCTACTGACCGCGGCTTTGGAGGTGGAGGTCCTTCCATTTTTCTCTTCCTCTCCATAATGAGTGTGTAAGCCTTCATCCATCTCTTTTTCTCCCTGACGTGTGTGAGCATCACTCTGGACACATGATGATAATGAAGAGGTAATACAACGCGACTCACGAGCGCCCTGCACGCCGCCATGACAGCCGCGACCTGCTGATACTGCGTGCGCTGTCCGCGAAAGAGCGACGGAAAGCGGGAGGGAAACTGTCCACAGCGCCCCCACCTGGCCGGAGCACCGGGGTTCATTTCTTATTAGTTATGGAGGTCACCTAGCCGAAATAAAACACTTTCGGCTAGGTGACCTGGCTCCATAACTAATAAGAAATGAACATGCCAAGAGAGTGATTAATATTAACCAGTACAAGTTGTGTACTTAAGTTTTTTTTCACGATCACAGGTAAGTGTAAATTCCTTAGGACAAAAGGAGAGTAGAGAAGATTGTAAATTCAAGTGCTTTTCTAACTGCAGTTTATTATTATATACTTCTTTTTATATTATTATTTACCTTTTTATAATCATCAATACGCCAATTGTTCCTTAGTTAAAAGGTACTGTGGCAGTAGCATGGTATTTAAAGGCATGAATAACCACAACACTTTCTAATTTTCAGTGTTGTTATTGTTAACCAAAACTATTACTTTTAAAATTTGGTTTTGGTTATTGAAATGAAGTTGAAAGAATATAAAATATTAGATTAAAACGTGTTAAAAAAAAAAACGTGTATTAAAGGTTGGTGAAAGGTGAAAAAATGACAAATGCACATAAAAACTTAATTTAAAACGAAAAATAAAATATAAAAATAAAAGCATATTCAAAAAATTAAATACTATAATGGTAAACATAAATACTAAAATAACTGATGAATTCATATTTACAGCTTTGTTTGGAAAACCTTTTTACTTTAACCTGTCATGCTTAAGACCGACATTGCTTATACTTTATCTTCAGAAATTAAACACAGACACGAAACTGAAACAAATCCAGTAGATTAAAAGCAAGCAGGACAGAGTGTAGTTCACTACTGTTGTCATTTATTCAAATAAAAGCATTTGTAATTCAATGTTTATGGCTCTGTGAGAGGAAAACTGAATCTGTATCATTTCAGTAATATCCTGCAGAAAAGGTTGTAGCAGAAATGCCATCAGTAGCATATGGGCAGTTTTACATAAATAATGACAAGGACTAAACTCACACTAACAAGTATGGTTTCTATGTTGATGCAAGGTAACATACATATGCACCTAAATCACAGTCCATAAATAATACTATTATTTAATTTGATGCATTTCTCTTGTCTATGATATATCAGTGTGTTCGATTCCATTGGTCTTTGTAGAAGTTTACATAATATTGTACTCATCTGGGCTGTGTTCGCCAAAAGCATCGTAAGCCTAAATTCATCATAGAGACCATTGGTGGCAATTGTTCAACAATCAACTTAGGCTTACGATGCTTTTGGTAAATGCAGTCCTGTATAGTAAACCTATGGAAAATATTATTACTGCCAAAGCTCAAAGACACATGAAGTAATATATATATACATCTAGTTCAAGCTTGGCTATGCAAAAAAAAAAAAAAAAAAAAAAGGAATTAAAAACATACAAAACAAAGAAAAAGAGCAATTGTACAAAAAAAAAAAAAAAGTGTATAAATACATATTTATAATAATAAAATAAAAATAGACTGACAAACTCAAACACAAAAAGCCATCCCTGACTTTACCGCTTTTGCCGTGAAGAAAACAAAACATTTTAGCCATTAAAAAATTTGGCTGAATTTTGACACATTGAAGCAGGGCAAGTTTTTCATTTTGCCCCTCCCACATTGTGGAGTCCATGCTGCTTTAGCGGCGGAACCAAACCCAGCTGTTGATGAGCCAGAAAGCTACAGTAATGGAATACATGATCATTTCTCGCTTGGCTCTCTCTTTGTTCTCCTCCTCTATGAGCTGCAAACGCCGATTCAACTTGACAATCTGTAATGACACAAAATCAAATAAATTAATTAACCCCTCCTATCTTTGAGGTTAAAGGTACAATATGTAGGAATTTTTCGCCACAAGAGGGCGCAGTTACCAACAATAACAAAGGCGAAGCTTGGTGACGCTATGAGGGAGAGTTGAACGATGGGAGATGTCGTTTTCACCATCCAGAGATGTTATGGAATTAAGGAATCATGATCACGGATGAGGTAATTCATTTGTTTTTGTATTACCTGTACGTCTGATCGCAATATTTTATGTCACCATAATGAATTAACTGCAAGGAACGCGAAATGTTATGCTATATTATCCTGTTACAGCTATTTGTCAAATGATTTGTTGGGTTAATGCTGCGCAGTTTTACGTGTTTATGGTTAATGCCGTGTTGTTTTACGTGTTCAAACCAATCGTACTGAAAGTAAATTTGAACGAACATTTGCAAGTAATGGCTAAATATTGTTTAACAACACATATCCGATTGTATTTAATTGCACTGCCATAATCTCGGTCAAAACACAAGTGATAAAAAGCATTACCAAAGTACAAAGAGCAATATAACTGAATTTTCATCAGCATAACGATCACTTGATAGTTTTTCAACATATGCATAATGATTGATCTGTCACGTCACATAGGCGTATGTATCTCGCATTGTTTATAAGTGATATTATTGACAGTTGCATGTGTTGCAAGGAAACACAGATACATCCTTTTGTTTTATGTACATTTGCTCACCTGTCTAATAAAGTATATGCAAGAGCGGTGTTGCTCCAAATTAGTCGCGGACGTGGAGCTCTCGGCATCTCGAAAACGCCACGCTGATATTGATCCTCATTTTAGTTCTCCTTTTTTGTCCCAAAGTCTGTTTGCCATGGTCCATAATGTTTGAACGAAACAACAACGGCGTGCAGCTAGACGTTACGCTCTACACAGTTGTCCACGTCTGTCGCCATGGTTACGTCATGGCTATGGCAGTACGAGCGGAAACCGAGGAAAGCGCGGATATTGCATCATTGACAGGTGACATTTTTTTTCCGGGATGGCCACTTATATAAAATTGGAATTTCTCTGAAATAAAAAAAATCTTTGGAGACTTTTGGGATATTGTAAGTACACAACTGCAGGAAATATATCACACTGTGCAAGTGATTTTTGGATATTTTATTACAAAATTCCTACATATTGTACCTTTAAGTATTGGTCAATTACACACACTACTGTTTAAAAGTTTGGGGGCAGTAAGATTTATTATTTTCTAGCGTGTGAATTACACATCCTTCCCATGACCCGAAGCATTCAAATAACACTTCATTTTTTTTTGTCCAGAGAGCTTACGGTATATCGTTTCCTTCTGATAATATATATATATATATATATATTTGTTTTATTACATTTTTTGGAAGCTTTTTGTTCTGTATTGAAAATGTGTTTAAATGTAACCCCTCCATATCTGTGTGGTCTGCATTGTCACTGATTGATTATTATTTTTTTTTGTGTGTGTGTGTGTGTGTGTGTGTGTGTGTGTGTGTGTGTGTGTGTGAAAAAAGAAACATTTCTCCCATTTACCATTCATTCCTATGGGGGTTAAATTGACCCGCGAGGAAAGGATTTGTTACTATTTTAATTACAACCACAAAAACTCCTTGAATCCAATCAAATTGTTTTTGTGTATTCCAATTTCAAATTTGACAAAACTGGCCTGAGGACAGAATTTAAAGGAATTAATTTATTCTGGAAAGTACACAATATATTGAAAATCAAAAGTGACAATAAAGACATCTACATTGCTACAAAAGATTTCTACAATTCAAATAAATTCTGTTCTTTTGAAATTTCTATTCATAAAACAATCCTGAAAAAAATGCATCATGGTTTCCACAAAAATATCAAGCAGCACAACTGTTTTCAACATTGATAATAATAATAGTAAATGTTTCTTGAGCAGCAAATCATCATATTAGACTGATTTCTGAAGGGTCATGTGACACTGAAGACTGGAGTAATGATGCTGAAAATACAGCTTTGATCACAGGAATAAATTACATATTAAAATATTGTAAAATAGAAAACAGCTATTTTAATTTGTAATAATATTTCACAATACTACTAATTTTACTGTATTTTTGTTCAAATAAATGCAGTCTTGGTGAGCGTAAGAGGTTTTTTTTTAATGGTAGTGCATTTAAAAAAAAAAGATTCTTAGGAACTGCACACTATAAAGCATATAGAGTTGTTTTAACAGCAGAATAATACCTGTCTGCGTAGAGAGGTGGCGTCGACAACAGCCATGTCATCTGCTCCTCCCTCTAGAGTCGAGTCCAGCGTGGCCAGCGCATACCTGTCAGAGACATTATTCATCTCATGAGACATTGAGATTGTATTGAGAGGATAGAGAGAAAAGCGAAGCCAGAGAATAAAACAGATGACAGGGAAGAAATGAGAGGAAGAGAAAAGAGATACCTGTTGTCATGCTGGGGGTTAGAGATGGTTGAACCCCCTCTGAGAGATGGCTTGCTGAGAAGCGGATACGGAGAAAGTGAAAGAGGGAAAGGACGAAAGAAGACACAGACAGACAACTTTAATAACACGCAGATGCGCTTTAACTAATATTTTAGATGTACATGTTGCAGGGGGTCTTTGTCTCACAGACCCTGTCAACATTTCATTTTTATAATCAAATAAACCTTGCAAAAGAAATTATGATTTCATGATAAAGCAGCCAACTGCACAGATGTAAACACAAAAATCCTTTTTTTCTCATTTTCAGAAGGAAACCAGAGCAGTGACTTTTGTTATGCTGGTTTTGCATAAACCTACAGTTGAGTTTAGTTCCGTCAGTGGAGCTGAAGTTAGTCAGAAGCCAAGCACAGGAAATGAGCTCACAGATACCACCTGTGCAGGTATCCATGGAAACCAAAATCAAACAAAGGAATGTTCCGGATTCAATATAAGTTAGGCTGTATCATTTCACAGTGTTTGTGGCATAATTTCAATTACCAGAGAAATTTTCCCAAGTAAAATAAAATAAATAATAATAATAAACACATAATTAATACATATTTGGGTCAGTAAGATTTTGAAATGAATGAATACCTATCCAGCAAGGACAAATTAAATTAATCAAAAGTGACAGTAAGACATCTATAATAATAATTAAAAAAAAAAATCAAATAAAT